AAATTTGTATAATCGATCTTACGATGTAGATCTTAAGAAAATCAGCCAATCACACGAATGTCCCCCTATGAGGGCAAATGGGGTTGAGAAATTTTACTGTCGGGGTAATGGGTGTCGGGGAATCAGGTGTCTTCCTTAGATAATGATGATGATGATGATGATACAAACGCTGTAAATATGGGCAAAAGCAGATGAAAAGTTTCTGTTCCGTTTTTTGATCGTAGCTTTTACTCGATAGTCACAGTATTTGCAAGTTGCGTCGTCATATACTTTCAAGAGACCTTGAATAAATTTTTTCTTCATCTATTGTTGTCGTTTTATAATCCATATGTAACGATAGTGTTGAAAAGAAAAATTAATGTTTTTCAGTTGCGTAACGATAATATTAGAATAAATACATTTAATTTTTGCAGTTGAAAGCAAGAGTCTGTTACATGAATTCATATACGTATTTGCGTAGATCGTCATCTTCTGCATAACGATAAGTCATTATTCATTTGTAGCTGAATTCTTACTTATTCAATAATATTGTAGTCCAAGTGCAACTTTAAAACAGTCTGAATCTCATTTTGAAAGTCAATTATATTGAAAAACAAAAAACAATATTCTTACGTTTTAAAATGTGTTCATTTTACCTCGTTTATAAACTTTGATGTCAACACAACTTCGCGTTTTCCATATCCTTTAAATGTATTTTTTATGATCCCACCAGGATGCTTTATAAATTGATCCAAACCTCCTTTTGCAAGATATTCAACGTTGGCAAATCTTTAAGAGGGATCCATTCAAAAAATCCACAACAATTATTACTTGCATTCATTATTAGACAGTCAATATTATTACCGCTTTCAGCTTTATAACTTCATTTGTGATAACAAAAACATCCTTGTCAGTACTTATTTTCTTGACAGCGAGTACACTCACTACAATCATGAGTATTGTGAATTGAATACTTATCGCAGTTTTTCCATACTTGAAAATATCCGCATAGAAATCAACCCTCAATCTAAAATCGATTAATAATTATTATACACAAAGTAAAAAAAAATGAATATTGCTAAAGTTCATGGTTCTTTTAATAAATAAACATAACATGTTTTACCAAATGAGAGATGACTAAATTTCCCAAATCAGAAATAAATGCTCAGAGTGCTTCGAGTGGTTGAATATGTAGATATACTAGGTTGTAAAGATAATATAGAAGCAATTGAATTATTATCATCAAATGAGGTTCTATATCCGTTTCATTATTTTCTGTTTCATAAATATCATCAAGTTTGGATCAAGATCGATATTTTATTTTCGGAACCAGTATTATCATTATACAAATCATTCAAGTTTGAATCAATATCGATATTTATTTTCGGAACCAGTATTATCATTATAAACTCTATATTGGCAACAGCTTCTTGGTCATGATTAAAGGCTCAGCTATTACTATTGTTAATGGCAAAATCATTGTCATGCGCGAGAGCGAATCGCAGCGTTTGCCATATCGTCAAGTAGCAATCGAGATTTTCCAATTAATTTATTCTTTAAAATCGATTCTCAAATTAGGCTTGATTTTAGAATCGATTTCCTCAATCCCAGTCTCAAAATTTGTTCTCAGTATCGATTTTAATTAGAGAATCGATTCCATTATTCTTATCCCATTTGTGTGAGGAGCATCAATTTCTATACATAAAAAATGAGATAAAACGGATAAAAAAAGTGTAACTAATAAAAGGCTCTTTTAATACAGTAAATGCATGTTGCAGGCGTAATGGTAATATGTCATTTTTATATGAAATTCTCACCATTATGCACTGCTGCTACGTATTAACGTTAACGTTAAGTTATTTAAAGAACAATTTTAAATTCGCTTTGTTATAACAAGTAATTACATGTATATGTACAAATAGGCGTTTTCATTGACGAAATTGACAATAACGACAAAATTTCTGGCGCGAAAAAATGTCATCTCCGTCTTCTTCGTTCACTGACAATGGACTGGTTCGGTATGTTAGTTAAATCAGAAAATTATAGATTTTTGAAAGAAAAATTTTTTTGTATCAAAAAAACCATAAATAATGAGATTAAGTCGAACCTCCATATAGTTGCCTCCAATATAATCACAAATCAATATATTCACATTTTTTAAGTTCCAACTTACCATGAAACATAAGAAATTTGACCTCAATATAGTCACAAACTCTTCATAATCGGTTTTTTATATCCCAAGGATGACACAAACCAATAAATTTTTGATCAGCCCGGCAAAACAAATCCGACACAAGAAAATGAAAAAAGCAAAAAATACGGTAAACAGATGCCTAAATATAGTTTGATAGACTAACAAAAAATGTTGGGAAGGCAATTTTATATATAACTTGGATTTTTCCGGATATACCAAATATCACATGACCCGAAACTTTTTTTTGCCATGGCTAGGGTATGCTAATTGATTGTCATATACGTACAATGTAGGTATGGACAAAAACGATCGCAAATTCTTTGGTATTTTGCCTGGTAAACACAAGTCTTACGGGGCTCATTGCTGAACTTACAAACAAATCATTGTAAAAAAATTGGGATATTTGTCGAGGTGTATCGGAGCAAAATGTTTCCTATTATCGTCTTATATATGTTAGTTCTGTAGAAATTTTAGTGATTTTGTCAACAGCTCATTTGTGCTATTTCGGGTAAAAATATATGAAATGTGTTTAAATTATTTTTGCATGTTTTAAATCTTTAACATTAATTAAACTAAGAATTACCCATTTGTGCAAGGACTTTTTATAGTCAACGTCGTGAAATTAAGAGTATATTTATTATCGTTATTGTTTAACATTCATTATTGGTGCGATTCGTTAATTATTTGCTAATACAATTTTTTAGGATTATATAAAATATATACGTATCAATTACCATTAATCCATGGAACGATAGCATTTCTCGCATTATTTTTTTACGGTTATTGGATGTGTCAATTATTCACGAGTGCCTTGTATCGACACAGCTTCAATGTAAATATAGATCAAAATAATGAATTAAAACTTTTTATTCCTTATAATACAATATTACTATTCATTTTTCCATTATCAACTATTATTGCTGTAAGTATTTCTATTCTAAAATTTTTTATATTAAATTATCTCAGTTGACAATTAACAAATTATTAATAGATATGCCGTGAAATATCTTGGTTAATGTTTTTTCATACCTATGGAATATAAGTTATACAATTAATATTATATATAAAATTAATACATGGTGCGTAATCGATGTAAACCTGTATGAAGTCGATAGATCGCTTTGTAATCAAATTTTTTCATATTTACAATAAGGATCAGTTGCTATTTTATTTCTAACCTTACTGACAATTAACACTATACGATGCCATCGTAATTTTGGAAAGAATCTGAATTTTTATCGTAAGTGTTGCAATTTTTTATAATTCGATTTTCCAATTAAAATTTCCTTATTTTACAATTGCAATTTTTATTGTGTAGTTAATTATTCACGTATCCTCGTGCATTTGATTATGAAGATAATCCTTCATAAATGAAGAAAACCGAGGCTAAAGAATTTCAGTTAAAGAAGATAGAATATTTTATCATATAAAGTGCTGCAAAATTGAATGCATTGCATTTATATGTATATAAGATAGGATTTAATTGAGCCAAAAATTTTTATTATGTTTCACAAATATTAATTTTTCTATATTCAACTGAAGTCATGCTAAATACACTTAAAAAATAATATTATTATTAACGCAGAAATAAAATAACATTAAATTTTTTATTTGCTAGGTGGCAGCTGTGCTACATTATAAGTGCTGTATGAATTGGAAACAAGCCGAACCGAAGGTAAAGAACAAATAATGCAAGGTATAGTAATTAAGTTCGAAGTAATAAAATATTAGTGAGCACAACTATTCTATATTAATATCGATATGAGTTTATACATAAAAATGAACCATTTAAAAACTGTTGCTTACAGTTTTACACGTTCAATCCTACCGCTACATTCTATCAATACATTGATTGTAATTATATCACGATGAGACGAGAGAAAAGCGTCATATACGTAGTTCAATCTTATATTTGATTCTATTTGTCCATCGGATGGTACTTACATTGTTGTTTATTTATACCAATGCTAATGAGAATATAAAATTTAGATTTTATATTGCTATTCATTTTTCAGAAATATAATTATTTGTGTATACTATTTGGTTGATATAAAAGCTAATATGTTACGGCCATTATTAAAGAAACACAATTTTTTAAATACAAATGGCTTTTAAATAACAAAGTTATTATTACACATGCTGTGATGGTTGCGACAGTATAGCTTTAGGATATGAATTTTTGCGTATAGTATTTGGACAATTGACTTTCTGTATATTAAAACATTGAGCTTTAAAATTCTTCGGTGTAATTACCCAAATTAATTCCTTATAGAATTAACTTCGTCGCAAAAGTTTGAAAGTTGTTTTCCTACGAAACATAAAACGCGCATCGTAACATTAACGTCACGAATTAAATTCACAGCACCCCCATGATACCAAGACATATAAATCGTAAAGAAATTTCCCTATCTATTTTCAGTTGTTCGTTAAATTACATTTTATGGAATGTGACATCTTAAATAGATAGTGATCTTGAAATATGCATGAACTCTGTAAATAACTTTTGAACATTGAGAGTTATAAATATATATATGGACTTTCGTAGATAGATTTTAGTTGTAAATATACATGGAATTTTCGTTTGTCATGAGAGTTTTTATAAAATACAAATTGATATAGCGAAATGTTAAAAATTATAATGATGCAAGAAATGACAACGTCAATCATACCAAAAGTCAAGCCAATGATAATAATATATCATGATAGATATGTTAATGCAACAGCTAGTGGTAATGGCAAATGTCAATGTTAATGTTAATGTTGATGTATATGGGTATTGGCAATAGCAGTAGCATTGACAACAATAATAAAATAATTGTCTTATCACGAAAAAGGTAAATATTAAATAGTTAGAATACCAATAATTTCTTAACGGAGAAGTGAGCGTTTTATATATCAAATGTTTATTATCTAATTTGATACTAAGATGATTGAAATGCAACCCGATGAAGGGATTTTCAGAAAAGCTAAAAATGAGCAATTGAATTCTTGGGCAATTAATATGTAAATTAAAAAATAAGGAATATAAGTTTGTAATTAATAAATAATTAATACTATCTAACAAAGGGGAATAGATTCAATAAAGTACATACATGTATTTATTTACTTAATAACTTAGTCGGATTTTTTGAATTATATCATATCGATACTAGAGGTGTAAACATTTCTCAGGTCAAGGGTAGCTACCCTCTAACGTCATACTGATACCTGGGTAGCTACCTAGCTATGTCTACGACTTAAGTTACTTCATGTTCTAATGTCCGCACCTCTAATCGATACATATTGCATTTTTGTGAAATAAAATCTTCCAGTTATACAAGAAATTTGACTGAGCATCAGACCAATCATTTTTTTAAAAAGAATGTTGAGTATTTAGAAAATGTTTTAGCCAATACTTTTGGTAGGGGAATATATGTTTAATTTTAAAATCTATATTTTGCCCAGGTACCGCTTGCTTTATGTTCAATAGTGATCAATAAAATCAAAAAATTGATCATGTCTGCCTTTTTTCAGTCGTTAAATTCGAAATTTATTTTTTTATTATTTACTCACGTAAATCTTACCAAATACTTAGGTTAATAGTCAGCGAATAGCAATAAATTTTTAGCAATATATTATATTAGGTAATATCAGCATAAATTCATTAAATCTGTGAAATTTAGGATTATTCTCTTTTATCTAAAATATTAATTTTATCTTATGTTCTTTAATGAGTTTATTTGGATACATGTATAACGATACGTAATTTAAAAACGCTTAATTTATAGTGCATACCGATACAGTGAACTCTCCCTAAATGCAGTAATATTTATTATTACTGCACAATACGTACATGTACGTATTAAGTTGATGATATCATATTGATGAACATGATAATATCCAAAAGTTATCGTTATATTTAAAGATCGAGTTGTTGCATTACATTTTTGGCAAGAACTGAGTGGATACGTAACCAGTTGGGTGAAAAACCCAATGGGGAAAAAGATCCATTATTCACACACTTATTACTCGTCATGTGATAACACATGACGAGTTTGATTGGCCATGATCACATAATGTGCAAGACACGTATATGTTCCATCATGGGATTCTGCACTTAGAGATTGCATTTACCTGTACAGTCAACCCTCTATTGTCAACATGACGGGACCAGGCATTTTTGTTGATAAGAGGGTCGATAACTCAGAGGTTAGAGTAAATATCAATATATTAGTCCAAGTAAAATATGTTCTGCAATCAATTTTGATAATAAAGAGGTATTGATATTAAAGAGGTTGATAATAGAGAGAGTTGACTGTATTAATAAAATTTCGGGTGTCTATTTGAGATATATTTAATTAATTCCCCCCAATCCATTGTAAATCTGATGTTAACAAACTACTTTATCCAATTCAAACAGCCTAATTTTAAATTAATATTTCAAAGTTTTAAGCAAATTTTTAATAAGTATTGAAAATAAGAATCTAATATTCATATTGAATATAATTGAAACTAAAATTTGTTAATTCGAGTCAATACCATTAAATATAAAATGTGTCACGAAGAGATTTCTAACGAATTGAATATATAGATATGACCAAATTATTTTTGGCTAAAAAGCAATCTAGTTGTCCAATGATAGATGATTAACTAATGTAAATACTGAATATTAATAAAAAATGCTACATACTGAAATCCAATGACATAGGGTTATCTTTTAGCAGTCTAAAAAGTTTATTCATTTACAAAAGGCGAATGTCGAGATAAATTTTTGGTATTATTAGTTGTAAATAAAAATTTATTATACAAAAAATTCAAAATAAAATTATTTCAGACACAAGTGCTTACCAGGTGCAATTAAGTCATCCTTGCTATGTACAGTTGGAAAATAATTAATAAACCTGCTCGTATAACTTGATTCTGAATGAATTTCTTGATTGATGTGTTATGATTACGTCGAATGCCATAATGCCATCTAAAGATGCATTTTCTTTATCTTCATGAATATCTTTTCTATCTGTGTTTTTTTTTAAGAAGTTGTATAGCGTTAGGTCTTTAGATGGATCTTTATACAACATCTTTCCTAGTGCTCCGGTCTGGTCCAATCCGTGACCCGACCCGAACCGCACACTTCGGGTCGGGTCGGGCTGGTGTCGGAAAACCTCTAGGCAGAATTCTGGTTTTCATAGATGTTTCCTAATCGTTTATATTTATTCTTGGTGACCAGGACTGACTAATTAGAAACGTGAAAATTTTATCTGAGATTGCAAATCCCAACTTTTTGATGCCAAAAGAAAAACGCTCAGCGTGCCATTTTGTTTATATAATTACTACGGACGCCAAGATATTCTTATCGATTACAACTATTTGATTAATGACTATGCACCGGATAATTAGGAAAACCGCTAGAGGTTTCCACAAATAATTACTTGCCGTAAAATGCTGTGAATAAGCACCAACCTATTTTAATTCAAACATAGTAAAACAATGAATAATAGAGAATAAGCACCACTAAATTTAAATTGTGAGGAAATGTCCAGAAACGAGTACAACACCATTTTTTAGAATCCAAAAAGTGATGCTTGTTAACGGCAGTTTACGGTATCCCTTTTACTTGTGTTATAATGCGACGCATCTACATGTATACTCGTCAAGTAATTTTGTATTACGATAACTTTATTCCCTATCTAGTCCTCCAGATTTGGGATTTGGCAAACTAAACTGTAAAAACAATAAATTAAGTGACGCTTTATCAATTAATCAGTTTGGTTTTACTTTTTGCATGATTTTTTCCAGTTATACATATAGTAATAGAGATTTAAAATTATACTTTTCTCAAGTTTTTCTGATAAATGCTCGTAATTCGGAACGATCTACATTATTAAATTTGTTGATCTTTCATAATGCTGGCCAAAGCTCAGCATAATTTTGATCGTCTAAAAATTAATATGGTTTATGATAAGTTCTATAAAGTTACCAGTCAAATTGAAGCAAATTGATTACTTGAATCATATTAAATATTTCTCTATAATTCCAAGCAAAAACAATAAAATTTTAGATCTTCAATAAATCAAATACTATTAATTGATGAATATAAATATATAGCACTATAGTAATTTAATTCAGAATTCTCTATCCACAAAACTTAATTCAATATATAATAAAATACTATATATTTAAATCATTACTTTTTCTTTATTTTTAATAATCTAGTTATAAATTTTATATAAATTTGTAATATAATATTATATGAATTAGTTATATAAATTTTTATATAAATTCATAATATAATGATAAGAATTAGTTATATAAGTTTTATATTTTTATTATTATACTAATTTAAATATTATAAAAAAATTCTATATAAACAAAATTTAATATATAAAATAATCAAAATATATAAATAATTTATAATATACAAAATAATTAAAATTATGTAAATAATTTACAATAAAAAAATTTTTTTCATAAATTTTATTAGTTATTTTTTATATAATTTATAATATAAAATTTATTAATTCTATAATTTATAATAAATTATTAATAATTATATAAATAACTTATTAAATAAAATATTATTTTTGATATTTTATTAGTTTTTAATATTTTATTATTATATTATTATAATAGTAATATAAAAATTATTAATTCTAAAAAATAGTTAAAAAAATATAAAATATTCAAAAATATTCATATAATAGCAAAAATCTCTTAAATTATTTCATGTTTTATTTATTATGTTACTTTTTATTTTATTTTTTATTTATTAATTTACTTATTATTTTACTTTTAAATAATTATTTTATTAATTAAATAGTTATTATACTTGAAATTGTGCTATCTGAGTCTTAATTCAATATATTATAAATGAAAAATAAAATTATTTCTTAACAAAAATTTTTTTTAAATAATACTTATATTTTATATTTTTAATTATATATATTAAAACTTATATACAAATGATTTTAAATCATATTGTACTAAACAAAATATTATTATTAAATATATGAACTTTGAATTATATTAAACAAAATAATATTATTAAATTTATAAACTTTGAATTATATTATGCTAAACAAAATACTATTATTGAATTTATGAACTTTATATTATATTATGCTAAACAAAATATTGTTATTGAATTTATTAATTTTGATTAGTATTTTAATTTTTGTTATTTTGAATATTATTTATTTTAATTTTAATATTTTGATATTTTTTATTTGTAAAAAAAATAAAGTAAAAGAATAATAATAATAATAATTATTATTATTATTATTACTAATTATATTATTTTAACTTGAAAAACTTTATACAAGTATAAAAAATTAGTATTTCAAATTCTTTTTATTAATTATCTCTTTATTATTTTATATTACTTTCTTTTTCTTTTAATTTTTACTCTTTTATAACTCTTTTATATTATTATTATATTTTTAAATTATTATAATTTAATAGAAATTGATATAGAACTTAAATATTTCTTTTTTTAAATTATTATAATTCAATAAAAATTGATATAGAACTTAAATATTTTTTTTAATATTTTATTTATTTTTTAATTATTTTTTTAATTCAGTTTCAAATTTGTAAGCTAATTTAATAATTAATAAATAAACTTATAATAATATATATTTATTTATTTATTTTTATATTTATATTTTAATTAATTACAAACTTCATGTTAAAATAATATTAATTTATTAGAATTTATATAATAGAATTATTATAAAAGAATTAATATTTGTTTTATAAAGTAATAAAATAAAATTTTTAATAATATTATATAAAAAATCTATAATTATATATATATTTTTTTATTTATTTTTATTTTTTATTTTTTATTTAATAAATTATAATTATATTTTTAATTAATATATTTATTTTTTATACTTTTTTTATTTTTAAAACTATTATATTTGTATTTATAAAAAATATATAAATATAAATTATAACTAAACATTGACTCAACATATTGAAACTTGAAAATAAATAATAAATATCTTTTAATACTTAATTATTTTGTTTTTTATTATTAATTATATATTTTAAAGCTTGTATATATGTAGTTTTGAATTGTATTGAACTAATTAAAATATTATTGAATTATATTTTTGTTATTGATTAATTATTTGTTATTTTATTATTAGAATTATTCAAATTTCTTACTTGTTAAAAACATAATATTTTATTTTTTGTCAGAAAAACAGATAAAATCTTTGTTATATTTAGTAATACTATTTATTTAGCTTTAGAATATATAATACTAATATAGAAAATTAGAATATTATTTATTTAGAATTAAAATATTTCTACTTTTATATATTTATTTCTCTTTAAATTATATAATTTCAGCAGAAATTGATATAGAACTTAGATATATTTCTTAATTATTTTGCTCTTTGTTTAATTTTCTCTTCTAACTCTTGTTTATATCTATTAGCTAATTTCACAATTAGTAAAAATATATAACAGTACTTGTTCATTTATTTATTTTTATTTATTTTATTTTTTTAATTGTCTCATTTATTTCTTAATTATATTTTTGTTAAAAGTTAATTAAATTCTGATTGTAACATAGTGAATGATTAAAATTTGAAACTCTTTTTTTATTAGAATTTTCTAGACTAAATATTTTTTCATTAAATTTGTTTATCAAAAATGCAAGAATTGCTATTTTAAAAGATTAATCATTTAATTATTAAATGATTAAAATAAGTAAACCTATTCGATTTAATAATTTTTAGTTTTTAAAAATATTTTCTTTGATGATTAACATTTGAACATGATGCTGTGTGATTTAAACTATTTTTTGTTGCATTACCAACTATAAATTTAGAACGATCTAATATTACTGACTTCTTTATTATATTATTACCTTTTCATAGATCAATAATGCCTCCATGCTCAAATCTGCAAGTCTGATCCTGATCTTTTAGGCATTACTCAAAACTGACTGGTTATAAAAAAAAATTTGAGGTCCTATTACATTTAACAATCATTGATGTTTTTCGCAAAAGTTGATAAAATAAATAAAATTATATTTTCTAAAAATAAAAAACTGAAATGTATTGATGATTTTGTGATTGATCTTGTTTTTGCAAGGCGGTGTATATTAGTATTGCCAAATTTGGATATGTATACGTACATGTACATGTATTCATTTATGCAAGTCAAAATGAATATTCTGAGTGGCTCAAGTAAAACAAATCCGACACAAGAAAATGAAAAACGTGAAAATACAGGAAACAGATGTTTAAATGTAACTTGAAGCGCTAATTAAAAATGTCAGGAAGGTACGTAGTTTTGTATATATACATAATGATAATGACATCATCATCATCTATCCTAGTCCACAAAACTATTACGATCAGCATGTATCACTTGCGCAGTATCGGTATGTACTAGTACTGATCTTGTTTTGCAGGGCAGTGTACATGTACATGCCAAATTTGGATAGTATACAATGAAAGTTTATCGTTATCGTCATTTCAGTAATGAGATTTTGTGTTACATGTATTACATGTATAACGAGATGTTATCTTAAATCAAAATCAACATTTGAGCATAGCATACAATAATATATTTCTAGAGTATAAGTCATGATGCATAAGGTCCCTCTTTAATTTTTCTTTCCAATTCAATATTTCATATTTGAACTCAATAAAGATTACTATAAAGTATTCATTGTAGCTAAGCTTTTAATTATTTCATAATACTCGAAGATTTTAAAAATGGCTGAAGGGGAGAAATCCGATATGATACAGCATTCTTAATTAGGTAGTAAAAATTAAACGAAAAAGCCTAACGCTATTTATGATTAACATTTGTCCTAATTAAGAATGCTTGCATCAGTCCAAATTACGTATACACTAACGCTAATGTGATTTTCTTCCTTCATGATCCACTCGTCATCTTGGTTGCTTTTACAAAACTTTTTTTTGTAAGATATTCAACATTAGGAAATCTTTCAAAAGGGATCCATTCAAACATGTTTATCTTTCGCGCATCTTTATTTTCGATAGGTTATTACTTCATAAATTGAAGGTTCTCTGCAGTACTTAACTTGAAATGAGTACATTTACCATTATGAGTATACGAAATTCTATATTTCATTTTTTTGAGTTCATTTCAAAATGATAATAAAAAAGATAATCTATGATCTTTAAAACTTTGAAATACATGTAATGCGATTTTCCTTCCACTGTATTACGTATATGTATTCCGAAAATGCTCCGATAAAATTTATATGCTGTTCACGATTGGCCAAGACATGTACAAAGCACGACATCATACAATACGTAACTTGTTATTGTCGATCAATTTAATTGTACATGTACATGTAAATCGGAGCAAAACATTCTTACGCTCCTATCGTTATGTAGACTATTTTTGTTTGCAAAACTAATATTGAGGCTTGCTCTCTTGTGAACATTAATAATAAAACCGAAAAGCATTCTCACTTCAAAGTTATCGATCTAGCCATACGTAACATATTAATTATACCAAATGGCATAGGTACGTAGACTTGTAATTCTTGATGAGATATTCAATTATAATGAAGCATTTCCAAACGATCACATAAAATTTGTTATAGCTGAATTTATAAAAATATGTAATTGTTAGTACAATAATGAAAAAAAATATAATACTAGAGCATAAACATTACCAATATCGATGTTTTGTATTATTTTAATCTAAAATAAAGAAATAACAAATCAATAAATATAAACATTTATTGCAAAAACAAATACATCCTACATCTATAAAGACTTTGGAGTTATATGCTGATATGAAAATATCCCACTTCCAAGAGGAATATTTGCTTATCAAAGCAAAAATAACGACCTTTTTGTGCACCATTCATTTCTCAGCAGGTAAAAATCTGGTAAAAAAATAAAAAAGTGGGCGAAGTAAAGTTATTTAGAGTGTAAAAGTAACGCCGATAAAATCCGTGAAACATTACATGTAGCATTTCCTAAACGAGTATTATTTGGTTGAAAAATCCCAATTCTATGGAAATTTCCTATGAGTACGTACGTAGTATGGCATGGTAATTTCCTGAAAAAGAATTGGCTGAAAATTTGCAGTTGCCTGAACTAGAATTGGCTGAAAACCACAGTTGTATGATAATTTCCTAATTGACAATTCTATGGTAGTTTCCCTAAACGAGAATTGTTTAGTTAAAGAAATTACGATAGTTAGTAGACTTTTGACAGACACAACTTTTAATGATGAAAAAAATCAGTCAATTCCAATATAAAAGGAGGTCCCTCAAGCTAAAGGATCAATATCATAACAATTCAACAAGCTAAATATTATACAAATAAAATGAAGCTCCAATCCATTGTTTTATTTTTGACTGCCAGTCTATCGACAGCAATTTATGCACAAGCTGTGTGCACAATTTGTAAGCTCAGATATAGATCAGATATATTCGATTGATTTGTTATATAGACTCTTTCGTACTAACGTCGTTTTCATCTTCATCTTCATTTTCTTTAGTTTACAAAGGTCTCTATCGACACCAAACTGGTGATACGGGCGGTGGATGCTTTGGTGCCGACCCGAGCGACTCTATAACTACGGTTTCGACTGCCGATCCTGCTGATGCTTGCTACACTTTTTATTCTGGCTACGGCTGCACTGGAAGCGTAGTTGGATCAGGCTGTGGCTCCACTACCTTTCCGGGTATAAAATTCTCATCAATCAAATTACTATGCAAATAGTTCACCATCAAATGTAGTATCGGTATGCAAATAGCCCACCATCAAATGTAAATTAAATTAACATATCCATGTATAATAAATATTAATGTATTTAGCCTCACAATTCCACGGTTATGAAGCATTATATGCGTTGTATATCTTTAGTTTTAACCTACGTAACTGAAAAATAAAGTTTTCGGTTTTTTTTACCAGATTTATTGTATCATATAACCACATGATACATGTATAGTGTATTTTTACGTTTTTGATACATCTGCAGTTTACCTAACACACAACATTTTTTATACAAATACATAGGAAATTAAATATATTGGGTGCTGAATTTTAAAAATTCTACAGTGAAATCTCTCTAAGTGCACCTCCCTCGGGACCATAGTAAAAAAACCAGCAGAGTGTGCGCTTAGAGAGGTGTGCATTTACAGAGAGTAAAATACATATGTGTCTTATAACTTGGAACCAAGCCATACCACATTTAGAGAGAATTTATATAGTGCGTGCATTTATAGAGGGTGCACTTAGAGAGATTTTACTGTACAAAGAAAAATTTGTTGATTATTAACCAAAAATGTTTATCTAGTAAAAGAAGGTTACAAGGAAGCGAAACTATAGCTACTATAGAATGATACGAAAAATTTTAGGTATTAGAAAATGACTTTTCCACGACATGTAGGGTTCGTAATCAAAAACGTAACTTTTGTGTTTTTCAAGCACGTGATAACCTTATCGTGATCGGAGGTCAGAATCGCATTATCGTGAATATCACAAAATTTTGGCTGTCCTCCAAATTTTAATTCAAAAAAAATCTTACTATATCCCGATACCCTATTTTTTCTTTTCCAATATGACATAGATCTGGTATGGATGACAAAAATAATAATATTTTATTTTTTTGAACTTTAATTAATAGAGTAATCTAGTATATGTATAAAAATTTGAATTTTAAGAAATAATAACATCATCATTTTTACATTTATCGCACATTTAACAAGCAATAATGCATGTAATTTATCTCTATTCAATTAGACAGAAAAAAACATTATCAAACAATATCGATATGCTTAACGTTAATAGTAATAGAGATGATAAGATGCACCTGTTTCGGGATTAGCGTTTACGTACTGTAATTTTTCATTTTCAGGAAATCGTCATTTACCGTTACGTAGTTTATTTGTAACGCGCGACTATCTTGATTGGTATGGATTATGAAACACAGAAAAATAAATATCTGGATGTAATTCGAATTTTTATTATTGTTATCGTTTTTAATTTCTCAAAAAATATAGTAAAGTGCTCGCCTTATATAATGAGAATCATTTTTTATTCTATAAATTCTACAGGCTTTATTCATTTGGGTTGCAGCTTTACAGGTATGCAGATATAGTGTTAATATACAAATAATATATATATACTAATGGTTTATTTTTTTGATTATTCTGATAACTCAATTTAAACACCACAAATTTTAATTTTTTCAAATTAAGACACAGATAATTTCAGAACACCAAAAAAAAAATTCATTTCATATAAAACATAATTTTTTACTAAGTAAATCGATCTTTATACATTAAGTAAACTTGTTCGCAGTACAATTTACACTTAATTCAAAATTTTTATTAAAATTATATTAATCAGACTATTTTTAAATGTTGATTTTTGAAAGTTAGTGTTTAAGCTATCTGTGCATATAATAAAATGTAATAAAGCGCAATTTTTTGTTAAGCAAATCAATTTACGTATATGCATTAAGTAAATCTGTTCACAATAGAGATTTACATTTACTTCAAAATTTTTATTAAAATCAGATAAAATTTATCAAGAGATTTTTCATTTAAACGTAAAAAAAATAGTAAAGATTTTTTATAAAAAACAACAAACACTAATATTTAAAGAATAATTTATTAATAAAATTTTATCTGATCTTAGTAAAAATTTCATATATATATGAATTTAATACTGTAAACAAGTTTACTTAATACATAAAGATCAATTTACTTAGTAAAAACATGTTTTGCAGAGCTATTAAAATTTATAGACACTGAATTTTTCTATATGCAAAATGTGATAAAACATGATTTTTTACTAATTAAATTGATCTCTATGCATTAAATTAACTTGTTCACAATGAAAATTTGCACTTAATACCAAATTTTTATTAAAATCAGATAAATCTTTATTAGTAAGTTTATTCTTTATACGTTAGTATCCAAAAATTAGTATATAGTACACATCAGTTTTGGCAAGTTCTTGAATATCCAGGACAAGAAATAGGTCCAACTTTATTATTTTTTTAAATTGTATGATATACTTAAATATTATAGAAAGAGAGACATCACATAGTTCTACTATAATTAGGGTGTCTTGAATACTGCAGTTCTAAAGTTATCTTATAGTCATTTGTCAGTTATCAAATGGGTATTTTCTAATTTTACAATTGAAAAAAAAGAAGAAACCAAAAACAAGATTTTTTATGTTTATTTTTATGTTATATCGATAAACAAATCATTATCAAGATTTGATTTCACTAGCTGGGTGTGATCACATATTTTCTATATATAGTTTTTGTCATATTGATTTTTATTATATATGGCGAGTACTATATATATTAATCTTTACAGGTTGCTTTCTTATTATTCGTTAAGGATTGAAATCAATTTCAGTAGAATTAATTTTAATAAAAACTGAAAAGTTTTCTATTTCGAAGGTTAGAATAGAAAGTGAGATTGTTAACAGATTGTATTTATATTTTAGACAGAGAATCGATTTGTAAAAAACTGAATTTCACATTATATATGTAATGATAATATTTATAAATATGTCGATTTTACGTATACTGATATATAGTATTATGGATCTTATTAATATTTTTCTCTCTTTTTTTTAATCACCAATTAATCACAAAATTATTTAATGAATTAAGTATAAAAGTTAACAATTATTTATTTACCCATTATCAATGTAATACACATATTTAATCTGATTATACAATATGATCTTTAAGTATATGATGAAATAATCAAAAAATTTTATAATTTTATGATTAAAATTTGAAAATTTAATTTATTAAAAGAGAATTTACAATAAATATTTAAAGTACAAAATATTTCATACTTGAATCCACAAATCAATATAAATATATATTAGAATTTTACTTATTTAATTTTAGAAAAATTTCAAAAAATTAAAGTACAAGTTAATATATTTATTGCACAATATCCAAATAACTTTAAGTATATATATAATAATTGAAGCATAAACAAATTTAATATATATATAATAATTATTTAATAAAAATAATAAACAAAATTTATATTTTTTTATATAAAAATTATTTAATAAAAATAATAAACAAAATTTATATTTTTTTATATAAAAATTATTATCAATTTTATCTTTTATGTATTGTTATAGCAATTCTGAATAGTGAGTTTTACTGAGAATCACTATAAGCATATGATGTTGGGAAAGGGGTGATTAAACTTAAGTAAAGAGAATGAATTATAAATATTAGCAAAGATTTCTAAGACCTGTGCCAATAT